GAGCCCCTATAGTAGCGTCCTTGCTCCTAGTAGTAAGGCCAGGAGCCTCTAGTAGCGTCCTTGCTCCTAGTAGTACCCTATAGTAGCGTCCTTCCTTGTTTTTTTGCTGCGCTACCGCAGTCACCCTAAGCCGACACCTGGTGCACAGGTTGAGCTCCATGGGACAATGCCGGAGACTGCAGAGCACAGATGTGAGACGGAGTCGACCGTGGAGTTGCGACTGTTTCGGATGCCGACTGCATCGTTTCTCGTTCCGACGCGAGGTGCAACTTGTAACCCCGTTGGAAAGTGCACGAAGCTTGCGCATGTAACGCTCCACTTAGGCACACTATTGCTATTGTTTTCGCATGTACATTGAATATACATACATAGAAATACAATATCATACAATCATACAATATACAAAAATATTTTCATGAATACATTGTGCATGGTGGACGGTGATGATATGGGGGTGACAAATAGCATAAACAACTGGGAGCTCGCTGTGTCTAAAACATGGGCGGGGGTTTGGTCCTGGCGCACAATTATTCACCCTGCTGAACTTTTGGTTCGAAGTAGACAATTTGGGCTGACAAGCGCCCAAGTGGAGAAGTGGCTTGGCCGAAAGAACATGGAAACGCGTTTGAGTGAAATCATAAATGTGTAAAAGTTTTGAGCACCGTTTGAGCATCCAAACGTATCTTTTTGGAGTCGCATTCTTACCTTGACTCTTTCAAGACTCCACTTTGCGCCAACAAGTCTTCATAGTGAGCGCCATTCTGCAACCTATCAGGTTTCACAGAGAGTAAAGAAGCACAGAGGGAACTCATGTCGCAGCATCTTGAGGAAAGACTGTCCATGCTGCCCATGCTTTGTGTCGAAGCTGATATTGCGGCGTTGCCGCTAGGTGCTTAAACGGCGGAAGCTAAGAGTGGGTCACAGTTAAAGTATACCGATGTCTTAGAAGGTTGCCGGAATAGGTAAGCACATGCAACAAGCACTCTTTGTCTCGTTGAACGAGCCAGTTGGCACAAGTTGCACGGGTTGAGTCGCAATGAGTCGCACGCGGAAACGCCGGGACTGGTGAATTGCTCGAAGTGAGACGAGAACCTTTGTTCGCTACTAGGGGAACCTACTAGTTAAGTTTCCCAAAAATATCTAACCAAATCATTAGCGCGAGCATGCGCGAGCTATCCTGCGTCGAGTTCCTAGTAGCTTAAGTATCTAAACTACTAGCTACCTCTAGCTACGTCAGCGGCCCCCCCTCCCGCGAACGTGGGCTTTCGTTCTTTTCTTCACACCTCGGTGATCCAACTCTGGCGCAGGAGTCATTCCAGAGGTTGTGTCGGAGAGCTCTGAGGACTCTGCTGCCTGTGAGAACACCAAAGTGTCATGGCAGACACGAGTTGTTGCAGGTTTAGCATGGTTTTAAGCTGCCTTGCCGTTCTAAGTCACGGCAAGCCTTGGTGACCCTTGGCAACCGTTGGCCTGGTGAACGAAGGTTGAGGAGCCCAAGAACCCGGTGCAGAAGCAGTTCAAATCTGAAGACAGCAAAGGCTGCAGAGCTGTGTTGCCTGTGTTCAGCAACCTTATCGGCTTGTCTTGGCAGGTAGCAACAACAGCAAGATGGACAAGATTGTCACGAAGCACCACAAGCGGCTGGCAACCGAACGGAAGGCAATTGGCCTTTTTCTGCATCAGAATGGCTTCAAGAGCCTCGGCTATGGTTGGGCAATGAGAGATGTGACCTTGCGGCATCGCTCATACATGCTCGTACTATCCAAGGATTGATGTGAACTGCTGCTTGGTTTGAGCAAGTGACTTCAACAGAGAAGCCCTTTGATGCTGACCCTATTTTTTATTCTTCTTTGTCATATGGGTTTGAAGGGTAAGGACTTGTGGCCAAACATCCATCAGCAAGAAGGACAATACATTGCTATCTAAGTTGAAGCAACTGTACTTTGAGCTAGAGTGAGATGGCTCAAAGCTTCCTTTTATTTTAGTGATTTAGCGCTCTTAGGGGGAGGCCATCGCTAGTAGGTTGGAGGCCATCGCCGCTTCAGGTCAAAAGAGCTCCATGTACGGGTTCGTGTACACTTATCCCCTCATCGAGGCAGTGAAGCAGCAAAACGCAGTGTCTTGGACGTGCAAAGTTGATAGAGCAGAGTCGTACTTCGCTTCCATTGCAACTCACATGTGCCACTCTACCGAGCAGAGCTCACCAGCAGTTGCAAAGGTCATGGCGTCTTTGTTGCTGAAGTTTGGCGCGGACCCCACCTTGAAGGACAGTGTCTTGGCACGACGGTGTCTTGATGGTTTGGAGAATATCGCAGCGTATATCACAGTATAATATAAGCATCATATCGCTCTTAAAGTGTTGGGCACCGTGCCAATTGTGCCGGTATATAGCGACGGATAATCACTTCGAACATCGTTTGGATAAAGTAAATTGTTCCAAGCGCTGTTTTGGTGGTTGACTGTCATAGCCTTGGACCATCTGGATTTTGCGATAAATGAGGCTATGGATGGACCGCATATCGCCGAGCTGTGAAGATGAAGTCGTGTGAGGCACAAGAAACGCAAACAGGCTTCGTTTACAGAAAAGAATGAAACAAACCATGATCGAGACACATATATATGTTCTACCGCTGGACCTATGCCCATCAATTAGTAATTAGATGCTCTAGACTGAGCAAATCGTACTCTCCGGGGTGGGAGTAGATGGCGATGTTTTTTCTTTTTGAGCCATCTTTATTTTACCACACTGCCTCCGATTGCGCCATCTATGTGCTTAAAAAGAGATGTTTTTAGGGCGTTCACCAGTACGCTTAGCGATGTCAAAGTGGCATATTTACAGATGGCGCAATGGGGCACATGGCAGTTGCATTTGCGCCAGCAGCTTCCTCACTTTGCAGAGTTTTGCAATATCTTGCTGTATATACTGTATACATTCACTGTTTCCCGTGGCTTGAGAAGAAAAGGTTCTTTGCCATTCTTGACTTTCAGGATACTGTATTCCTGGCCCAATTCTGACATGTATGTATGGCTTTGCGCCTTCTATAACCCTTTTTTGGCAGCGTTTCTTGCAAGCCGCTCTCGCTACATTTGCGGCCAGAAAAGGCTGAATTGCGCCATCAATAGGTTATTTTGGCGTTCAGGTGGAGCACACCTGGCGCAATCTACCTTTAGGCCGTTAACCACTGGTCATTGAAAAAATTGTTCCATCCTCTTCCCCGGCGGTGTAAGTATGTTATATACGTATATATATATATATTTCTTCCACGTTTTCGGTGGCTCTTGTTGACTTTTGATGGGCTTTTGGTGGCTTCCGTCAGCTGTGGCTTTGTGCAATGATGGGGGAGGCGCTGCGCCCTTTCCCCAACCCGCGTCCCGCGCCACGAAATCTGCACAGAGCATCCTTATTGACTTTTAAGCGGAGCACCTCAAGGCAAGCACCGCTGGCCGCTGCCCGCTTACTGACGCCTACGACTGCATTGTGCCCAAGATAATTGTGACATGTGCGACCGCTCAGCTTCTAGGCTACTTTGAAGGTCTGATGGTGTTGTTGGCATCGCCCATTGCGGGGCTGCTCTACTTGCTTGTTTGCTGCTCATTTCTCAGATTTAGATGCCTGTGGTGCATTTTGAGGGGAAAGTCGATTCTGAAGCCGCACTCTCGCGGTTGGTGCGTCTCGTCTCTCACAGTGATTGATTCTGGCTTGTACATACTTGTACGCTGTCTGTATCTTGTTGGTGAACACTAGATATGCTGCCTTGCCAACATGCTGACAACAGGAATTTATCTGCAAAACCAGAAGTGACATCAAACCTAGCTGATGGCATAGACGTGTTGCAAGCTGGTTGCTGCTTGTGTTTGATGATTCTGCGGTTCTATACTTCAAAAGATGGATCAAAACCAATCATGCAACAATTGCCGGCTCTCCCAAAGTCATTTGTTATTACTTTTCATTATGTCTTGACTCTCAGAGCACTTGCCAGCTTCTCCGGGTCTTCGAGAGGAAGCAGTGCAGCAACTGGGATTCAATATAGATTGGTTTCCTGTGAAAGAGGTTGGAGGCCATCACTTTAGGTTGGAGGCCATCGCTGGTAGCTATCAGACTGCCAATGAAGCGATCCCAAGGACATATTTCAGAAACAGGGATGTCTACCCTAGAAGTGGTCCAGGGAACGACTTGAGGTGATGAAGACTTGAAGATCCGCATGGCGAAGCGTGGCAAATCAGTTTGTGATAGGCTGGAGTCCACTAGATCGGAGATGCCCACTTGACACTGGAGCCGCCCTTTGCATGGAATGCTCACCTCAATTTGCGCCGACAGGTTTCCGCCGCCCAAAGGTTTCGAGACCTTCTTTGCGGCATTGGAGGGTGACCCATTGGCACACAAGCGACCGCAGGTCCCTTGCCGCACATCTTTTTCACATGTTGATGGCACTTTTCTATGTTGTGCCGGTCGGACACCTGAATTGGTGCTGGCAGAACTGCCACGGTGCAAAATGGTTCAAGCAGCTTACACAGAGAGAGAGAGAGAGTGGAGAGGCAAGGGACAGGGTGAGATACAAGTTGTTTACAATGTTAGAGAGTTTGTGCAGTAAACGTACGTTTAGAAAGATCGCACACACACACACACATAAGCTTTGATCCCTAGACACTGGGGCAGCTCAGGAACTATGGCATGAGCATCAAGACGACCACAATTTGACATGGTGCCACCACCACAAACAGAAGAGCAACAAGGCGCTGCATCAGTACACTAATACAAGCCGTTTGCAAACCCAAGCGTGTTGGAGGCCATGGCTTCTAGGTTGGAGGCCATCGCCAGTAGGGGGAGGCCATCGCTATAAGAAGCAATGTAACAAGAGTTATGCTACCTTCCACGAGTGGACATACAGGTTCACAGCATACATGGGTTTGGACGGTCTGATGGACAACGACTACACAGAACTCTCACAGGCAGAACAACCAACATCCCAACTCACTAATCTAGATCTGGTTGGATGCGCCTTAGCACAGACCTGAAGTACATACCCGCGAGCATTGCAACAGGTGGGACAGCAACAGTTTGCAGATAATTCCAACAAGAAACAGACGTCGAGATCTACAGACAATACCTGCAATAGCTTCCAGAGCCCAAGTTTGGCACAGACAACTTTGAGGAATCCGTCGCAATGGGACTTTGAGCTTAGATTCGAAGGCAACATCATTGCATGATGGTTGCAGTTCGACTCAGCGACATCGCTACAACAGCACTTGCAGTTGCTTGCAGGAACAGCACAGCACAACCATTGGAACTACAGAGCAACAACAGCATTCAGCAAGATGCAAACACTCGAGCATTGGAACAAACTTTGGTGGAGGTGCAGCACCTATGGATACAGGAGCAATTCAAGGCAAAGGAAAGAACACAGGAGAAGGAAAAGGAAGATACAAAGGCAAAGGAGGAAACGGGTACAACAGAGGATGCCACCACTGGAGAACGAAAGCAGACTAGCAAAGACAGAGGCCCATTGGACAATGCACAGAACAATTGCAAACCGCTGGAGAGCAAATGAGAGGGAGAGAGGCTGGAGATCAAACTGAGGTTGCCAAGCAGACGGGTTGTCTCTTCTTCAGGACAATTGGAAAGGGCGACCGTCTGAGGGTAAGCTGGACCTCAAAGCACTCTTGGTGTTCTTCACACATTTGTTGATACGTTGCATTTGTTGGAGGCGATCGCTCGTAGGTTGGAGGCCATCGCTAGCTAGTAGGTTACCAGGTTGGAGGCCATCGCTAGTAGGTTGGAGGCCACCGCCATCGATGGTAGGTGGGAGGCCATCGCTAGTAAGTTGGAGGCCATCGCTCGTAGGTTGGAGGCCATCGCTAGCTAGTAGGTTACCAGGTTGGAGGCCATCGCTAGTAGGTTGGAGGCCACCGCCATCGATGGTAGGTGGGAGGCCATCGCTAGTAAGTTGGAGGCCATCGCTCGTAGCTTGGAGGCCATCGCTAGCTAGTAGGTTACCAGGTTGGAGGCCATCGCTAGTAGGTTGGAGGCCACCGCCATCGATGGTAGGTGGGAGGCCATCGCTAGCTAGCAGATTGGAGGCCATCGCTCGTAGGTTGGAGGCCATCGCTAGCTAGTAGGTTACCAGGTTGGAGGCCGTCGCTAGTAGGTTGGAGGCCACCGCCATCGATGGTAGGTTGGAGGCCATCGCTAGCTAGCAGATTGGAGGCCATCGCTATAGTAGGTTGGAGACCATCGCCATCGCTAGTAGGTTGGAGGCCACCGCCATCCATGGTAGGTGGGAGGCCATCGCTAGTAGGTTGGAGGCCATCGCTCGTAGGTTGGAGGCCATCGCTACTAGGTTGGCGGCCATCGCAATGAGATTGGAGACCATCGCTAGTAGGTTGGAGGCCACCGCCATCGCTAGTAGGTTGGAGGCCACCGCCATCGAAGGTAGGTGGGAGGCCATCGTTAGTAAGTTGGAGGCCACCGCGGTGGGAGGCCATCGCTACTAGGTTGGAGGCCATCGCTCGTAGGTTGGAGGCCATCGCTATAGGTTGGAGGTGATCGCTCGTAGGCTGGAGGGCATCGCTACTAGGTTGGCGGCCATCGCAATTAGATTGGAGGCCATCGCTAGTAGGTTGGAGGCCATCGCCATCGCTAGTAGGTTGGAGGCCACCGCCATCGAAGGTAGGTGGGAGGCCATCGTTAGTAGGTTGGAGGCCATCGCTCGTAGGTTGGAGGCCATCGCTATAGGTTGGAGGTGATCGCTCGTAGGCTGGAGGCCATCGCTACTAGGTTGGCGGCCATCGCAATTAGATTGGAGGCCATCGCTAGTAGGTTGGACGCCATCGCCTTTGCTAGTAGGTTGGAGGCCACCGCCATCGATGGTAGGTGGGAGGCCAT